ATAGTCTGAATAAATTGTTTAGAACATGTTATAGCTTCTCTTTAAAAACAAAACAAAACATTTTATTGATTTTCTTACAGAGAGGAAGGGAGAGGGTTAGAGAGTTTGAAACATTGATAAGAGAGAAACATCAATCGGCTGCCTCCTGCACACCCCTTCCTGGAGATATGCCCGCAACCAAGGTACATGCCCTTGACCAGAATTGAACCTAGGACTCTTGAGTCCGCAGGCCTACGGTCTATTCACTGAGCCAAGCCAGTTAGGGCATAGCTTCTCTTTTTTAACAACATTAGTTGTTTGCAATGAAGATCATACTTTTTTTTCCCAGGGGTTTTGTTAAAATATTAGTGCTCTAAAATGTAATTTTTGGAAGAGCAGAGCTTGGTAAAATTCAGAGATGCTTATTATCTCCGTTTAAAAGCTGATTTTGTGAAAAAAAAAAAAAAAAGATGCTGACTTTATTTCAATTTATACTTGTCAACCCTGTTCTCATGCAACTTTCTAATATTAAAAGGAGGGAATGACTTTTTCATGTTTGCATTTATTTAGAAATGAGAGAAAGAGAGATAAGGAATTCAGTCCCACATTATTGATACAAGTATAATATAAAATCAGTATCTTGTTTTCATTTTTCCCCTCTTAGATATAAAAAGCTTATACTTTATAAAAAGTTTAAAAATATTTAGGCTTTTTTTTGGTCCTCCTTTGCTAGTACTTATTTAACAACAACTCTCTCTCCCGTAAGGATACCAGTCACCTATGTGCTTAGAAAATTATTAATCTTTACAAGAAACAGAAATAGAAAATGTCGTTGCTCACTTTCTTTTATTAACTCTGTTCTTTTTTGTTTTCATTCTTTTCTTATTTCTCACCATTTCTAACAAATTTATCTAGATATATTTATTCCAATTAGCTTAAAGAATTTAAGGGTGCTTGTTAAGAACTGTACAAGTTGCTAGAAGAACTTCAGAGAGAAATTGTGATTCATCAAGTAAGCCCTATTCTAAAAGCTGCCTGAGGTGTAACATGCACACGCTCCACAAAGATAGCATGTGTAATAGGTTCCCAGGTCAGTGGAAAATGGTGTTTTTATGGAAAAGAACATTGAGAATTTTAACTTGGGGTGCCACAATCCATCTCCCTGATTTTTATCATCTTGGTAACTCATTCATTTATCAAACATTTACTGAAGAGGTTTTTTTCTTCTTTTTTTCTTTTAATGTGCTACTGGTAAGGGAGTCTACATTTGTTGAGGATGTGAGGAAGAGGGAAGGTTTGTGTTGAAGGGTTGGATCTCAAATGAAAACAAAGATAACATCCCAGTGCTCAGGGAGTTCATGGCTCCCTGCCTTGACTTTTACTTTTTATCTGTTACTAGAGGCCCAGTGCACGAAATTCAAGCACAAGCAGGGTTCCTAAGCTTGGCTGGCAATCAGGGCTGATCAGGGCCTTCTGGTTGCTGGCCAAGGGCTTCCTTTCCTGGCTTCTGGCTGCCGGCTGAGGCCTTCCTTTGTTTTGTGCCACCACCTGGTGATCAGTGCATGGTTGAACTCTTAAGTCTCCCAGTCGAACTTCTGTGGGGACAGTTTACATATTAGCCATACACATACACACACACACACACACACACACACACACACACACACACACTAGTGACCCAGGACATGAAATTTGTGCACATTAAAAGGGAATTAGAGGAAATATTTTAATATCGCTATTTGCCCTTTCTCTATGATAGAAGTGTCAGAGATGAAAGGAAATTAATAAAATGTATATGAAAATCTTCCTCCTGTCAGAGTCTAGGTCACACCATGGGAACCAGAGTCAAGTCCCCACCCACCCACCAATGTGTGCCTCGAAATTGCGCGAGACCCAGACCTGGCCGGCCCCACCCACATTGGGCTAGATCCAGACCCAGCCGTCCACCCCCTGTCAAGCCCTGCTGGGCAGGGGATGCGGCCTGAGGTCCCCCGTGAAACCCCACCAGGTGGGGGGCACAGCCTCAGGTCCCCCAACTTGGTGCCAAGGCGGGGAGCGCAACTTCAGGCCTCCCTGCCCAGGACCAGGGCAGGGGGTCCACCCTGAGGTCCCGAGTCAAGCCCCGCTTGGTGGGGGTGAGGGGGAGAAGGTCTGAGGTCCCTGTCAAGCCCTGCCAGGTGGAGGGTCCCATGGCCTAGTGCTGGAGCAGGGGCGTGGTCTGAGTTCCCCCAGCATGGTGCATGGTTGGGGGGCATAGCCTCAGGTCCCTGCTAATTGCTCATTAAGGGTCGTTATGGGAACTCAGCCTCCACTGTGGGCACAGCCATCTTGTGTTATGGTACCCCACCGTCTCTGTGGGCGCAGCCAGCTTGTTATGGCATGACCATCTATTTGCATATTCCCTCTTTATTATATTGGACTAGTAGATTCCATGAAATAAGAATTCTAGCTTTATGCTATTAATACTGACGTTCAATCCTACGGTCAGGGATTTTTGCAATTCAGGTACTGGAGAAAGGGATGGCTGCTTTGTAGAGTAGATTAGAGATGAGACCACTCTATTTTGTCCAGGTCTTGTATTCTTGCTTCTCAGCCCCCACTGTACATTAATGGTTGCTTCTCTTCCCAGTACTACATACTGAAGAATTCCTTTGCTTAATTTTCTTTTCTGTTCTAGGTCCTCTGTCATACAGTTTACATTATTGTGGTTTTATACATTTTAATGTTAACCAGAATGAATATTCTGTCATAAACCCTTTTAAAAAATTTTCTGGAATGTCTTCTTATGTATTTGTGCATCCAGACGGCCCACCCTACTTTCCAAATATATTCTCTTAAGATTTTGATTGACATTTTTTTAATTTTATAAGTTGATTTAAGATTATTGACACCTCTAATAAGTTTTTCTCAATTTAAGAATGGATTTTAATTTATATTTCTGTCATTTTATAGGTTTTTTTTTTTTAATAAAGTGTTTTAGTTCATTAAGGTTATTTTTAAAATTAATCTCATTGCCTATTGATGTTACTTTGGGAAGTTATTTTTGCTTACTTATTGAAAAGCCATCTTAAGTAGCTCTAATAATTCTAAAATATTTTAGGTTATATTCTTGATAAAATCGTATCATTTGAAGTGATGGAGTTTTGCCTTCTTAATAGTGCTGAAATCTTATTTTCCTTACCTACTTCTATCAAACAGTCCTTCCAGAATCATGTTAATAACTATGTTGGTGGACATTAATGTCTTAAATCTAATTTTGCTTTTAAATTTTGTTTATATTTTGCCATTTAACATTATCCTTTATTGGGTTTTGTTTTCCACATAGGAAATTTTTTTTATAGGATCACATTATCTACGTTGTTTGACTAGTCTCTTCATTTTTGATCCTTGTCTCTCTTAATCTGTACAGTTAATTACTATATCAGCTTATTTTCTCAAAATCTGTTTGATCATGTTTTACTTATATACCAGGAAATTGTAGCACTATAACATTTTTCCATGTAATTGTAGCACTATAACATCTTTCTCAGGCTATTTATAGTATATGTATATATTATTTATATGTGATTAGAGCATATGCCTCTTTGATTTTCTTTCTTTTTAAAAAATATATATTTTATTGATTTTTTTACAGAGAGGAAGAGAGAGGGACAGAGTTACAAACATCAATGAGAGAGATCCACTGATCCAAATTGGTTTTGGCACCTCTCTGATTTTCACCTTGTGAACTGTGAAGGACCTGAGATTTTATCCTTCTTGTAGACTAACATGTTAGCCTACAGTAGTTTTATGGGTCCTGGCAGAAGACAGGAATCTCTTGGGTCAGAGACAAGGACAGCTTATTACTCATAACAATTGCAGTAGTGACAGTATCATCATTTTTCTTGCACTGGTTATCCAAGCCCCAGCTCCTACAGGTTACATGACAAGCTAGGACCAGATGACACCAGTGCACACAGTTTCATTAATGGAGAGGACCCTGAACATTATCCTCACCCTTTCCATTCTTTTTCTGACTTTCTCTCCACATCATTCTAATTTAAGATTCCTTCTCGGCTTCCATATCCCCCATTGTGAACCTGTGTCTCACTGTGCTGCTTATGTACTAGGTTCCTCCTATTCCAGACACTCCAGCGATCCTTCTTGACTTGTACAGTGGCCTCCCTCTTTCTCTCTCTCTCTCTTTAGAGAATTTTTAAGTTCTGTTGTCTTTCCTGCCATCTGTATGATGGTCAATGTCTTAGTGTTTGCAGAGTGCCTGCAGGGATATTGTTTGTTATTTTTTGTCTTTCATAGAATCCTTTAGGGCTATGTTGGTTAGGAATGTGTTCAGTTACAATGGGTGTAATGGATAGAGTTTGTTTCTGATTATGGGTTATTGTTTTTTCATGTAAAAAGTCTAGAGATAGATACTGCTCATGTTGATTCAGCTTTTTAGCAACACCCTTTCCTGTAAGTTTTTCCATGTGTTCTTCCCACCATCTGAAAGTCTGTTTTCTCTATATCTACAGTTCTAGGTATTATCCATCCTTTAAAGTATAAGCTCTTCTACAGAGTCTTTGTAGAGGTGAAAAAACTCTTCTGTATGTACTCACAGTACTAATTAGCTAGAAAGTGGCCTTTATCATTAAGTTTTATATAGATGTCTCGTTTTTCCCTGTACACTATAAGACCTTGTCTGTGGTGTATCTTTTTTGTTTCCCTCCCAAAAGTGCCTTGTTTAAAGTAGACACAGTTTGTTTACTTGTTGAATGGATGATACAGAATGAGTGAACCCTACCTTTAAGCAACTATTGAGATTACATGTTGGCAGTGATGTGAATATGGAATTGTGGCTATTAAGCAGATAATTTAATTTACAGGAATGAAATGTATACCAGTATTTTGCTGAAACATCTCTATTGTGTAAATTGGTTTCTGAAAGCACAAATATTTTCTTATTCTATCAAATGTATTTTCACATACTTTTAAAACATTCTATTAATATTTAGTGGTAAAATGAAAACTGTTCTTTCTTTCAGTGCTTAGATGAATATGAAGATGATGAAGCGGGGCAGAAAGAGCGAAAACGAGAAGATGCAGTTACACAACAGAACACTATGCAGAATGAAGCTGTCAGCTTATTAGATCCAGGCAGTTCCTATCTGCTACAAGTGAGTATTTAAAAAATACTAGGATGTTACTAGCTCTTTTTTTGTAATCCTTACCGGAAGACATGGAGAGAGAGACAGTGAGACAGAGACAGAGACAGAGACAGAGACAGAGACAGAGACAGAGAGAGAGAGAGAGAGAGAGAGAGAGAGAGAGAGAGAGACATCAATCGATTGCTTCCTGTATACACCCTGACCAGGAATTGAACTGGCAACCTTTTAGTGCATAGGATTACACTCAATCAGCTGAGCCACTCCACCCAGGCATCACTAGCTATTTTAATGATAATTTGTAAGTTACTATTAATAATTTTTCTAGTTTCATTTTGGTTGCATCAACTTCATTGAAATATTTTCAACAGATTTAAAAACTGATCCTCCTCATATCCAAACATAAGCAGTGTTTGGTCTTTATTTCCTGTTAGATGAGTATTTGCTGACTAATAAATAGTATCACAGTATAAAAAGTATCAGATATAAACAGTAGCAATTGTAAAAACAACCAAGACTAATGATTACGTCTTAGTAAGTTTAAGTGAATGTACAGTTCTATTCTATTTGGTATTTGTTTTAGAATTGCATAGCAAATAAAAGAGTTCAACAGCAAGTTCTACAAAATTAGTTGTTTAAAGATAATAAAATTGTGAGTTGTTAGAAACTTCTATATTTCTGTGTAATTATAAAATACTGTTTTAAAATAAAAATTTAACTTAATTTTAAATTTGCTGATTTTTAAAAATTTCTTATGGCACACATAATTGGAAGTTGATGGTATTGGGATGATTAAGTATTAAGAAAATCACTTTGCAGAATCCTTTAATATAAACTCTAAGTTGGAAATGATCTTGATATAATGGAATCTTAAATTAATTTGATCTTAAATTAGTGTAGTCTTTTCAGAGTTCCAGTTTTGACTTTTTAAAAATGAATTTTATTAAGATACCACTTTTAAAGGAGCTTCCAATAATGTCCCCATTTTATTGGTTAAAAATGACATATTTGCAAGATAATGATAAAAATGCATTTGAAAGAGAGAAGCAAAGTATTTTGAGGTGGTTTGGTATGCGGATAAAGGACTTCGTTCTCCTCTGCTCTTTGAGGAGATATATTGACATGAAAAATCAAAGCGTGATACAGGTTTATCTGTCCACCTGTACCCAAATTGTTGCTACTGGGACAAGTAGAACCTATTACAGATAACATGGTGTAAGCTAACAAGCAGTGTTTCAGCATCTGTGTGACTATTCATAATCGAAACTATCTTTGTATGCTTTGTCTAACAAAGTTGAAATTGAATCTGGGCTTAATTCCACCTGTAGAGTATTATGCTAAGTGAAGTAAACAAGTCAGAGAAAGACAAGTACCATATAATTTCACTTATATGTGGAATATAATGAACAAAATAAACTAACAAACAAACTCATAGATACAGAGATTAGACTGACAGCTGTCAGGGGAAGGGGTTTGGGGATGGGTAGAAAGGTGAAGGGATTAAGCAAAAAAAATAAATAAATAAATAAAGCAAAATTTATACACACAGACAACAGTATGGTAATTGCCAGAGGGAAAGGAGTGGTGGGAGGTAGAAGAGGGTAAAGGGAGGATAAATGGTGACAGAACTTTGGGTGGTGAACACACAATACAATATACAGATGATGTTTCATAGTACTGTATACTTACAGCTTATATAATTTTATTAAGCAATATCACCCCAATAAATTCAATGAAAAAATGTATTTGTCCGTGAGTCTGGTGCCTGGATGCAAAATATATAAGCAGTGCTTAATTTCCCTTGTTTGTTGTTTCTTTTTCTCAAAGGACTTTTTTTTTCCATTTTTTTTTTTCATTTTTAGAATGGAACAATGATGAACAAATAAATTAAACATGAGAATGAGAATCCTAATCTGAAAATAAAAAAAAATATGGGCCTACTCCAGGTGAAGATATAGGCTTAATTTATTTGGATAGAAACAATATAGCATTTTTTAAAAATGTGTTTTTATTTCTTTTAGGGAGGGAGGGGAGAAGGAGGGAGAGAGACATCGATTGATTGCCCCCTGTATGCACCCTGACCAGGGACTGACCCTGAAACCTGGGTATGTGCCCTGACCGGAAATTAAACTGGCAACCATTTGGAGCACAGGACAATGCTCAACCAATGCTGAGCCACAACGGCTAGGGTGAGAATATATAGCATTTTAAGACCTGGTTTTAGTTCTTGGCCATTCCATTTATTCTGGCATACTCAGATAACATCAGGCAGCAGCTTTTAGAAAGAGGGTTGATTTCTTTCTGTGGAAGAAGCCCTTACCCAATGAAAGCTGGGGTGGCCTCTGTTAGAACACATGGCTTATTCCCAAATGCAGTACACACGCAGATACGGAACAGTCTCGACTGATCCGAGCGCTCTGAGGAGCTTTCTGCCTCATACAGTTTGTCTTTTTTCCTGTACCTTTTCTGATTTCTTGCCAGGCCCACTCTTTCATTTTTGTTTCTGTCATTGGCAGTTAGGATGGGACTCATCTTTACCTTGGTTCCAAGTGTCTGTTTGCCAGGCTCTGTGCCTAGGATGAAAGTGGGGTACTCTTCCAAGGGTCCCAGATTGACACATTGAAGTTGGAGGGACTTTTTTTTTTCCATTATCTGTGAGTCAACCATTCAATGAAACAAACTTCAAATGTGAAGAATAAAATAGAAATGTGAATGTGGCATTGGGAAAAGGTAGAATATTTTAAGTTTCTACTTGACATAGTTTCTATTGGGAGTTCGACTGCTTGCTATGACGAGTGCAGACAGCAACCAGCAGTGGCAGGCCCTGATTGCCCAGTTGGGGCCAGACCTCGGGCTGGGAGGGGAAATGGGGTTGGGTGGCGGCGACCAATCTCCCTCAGCGCCTGGGTGGAATAATATGAACTAGTGGTAATAAAAAAAGTTTTTAAATTTTTTTTGCCCTGGCTGGTGTTGCTCAGTGGTTAAAATGTTGGCCCAGGCACCGAATGGTCTCCTTCAATTCCCTGTCAAGGGCACATGCCTGGGTTGCAGGTTTCCCTGCCCCTCGTCAGGGTGCAAGGGTGGCAACCAATAGAAGTACCTTTCTCACATAGATGTTTTCTCTCTGTCTCTCTCCGCCCTTCCCTTTCTCCCTTCCATTCTAAAAAAAAAAAAAAAAAAAAAAAAAAAAAAATTGATGGAGAAAATAATCTCAGGTCAGGATTAACAAGAGGAAAAAAGATAAGTATTTTGTGAAATTAAAAATGGATCTGCCTATGACCTAGCTATTTCACTCTGGAGATTTATCTGAAGAAACCCTAGTTTGAAAGAATATATGTTTTAAAAAGCAGTAGTTTGAAAGAATATATGCACCCCTGTGTTCATTGCAGTGTTATTTATAATAGCCAAGATATGGAAGCAACCCAAGTGCCCATCACTAGATGGGTGGATAAAAAAAGTAGTGGTAATTTACACAAAGGAATACTACTTGACCATAAAAACGAATGAGATCTTACCATTTGTGATAGAATGGGTAGACCTCTAGGTCCATTATGCTAAGTGAAATAAGTAGTCAGAGAAAGACAAATACCATATAATTTCACTTATTTATGGATTCTAAAGAACAAAATAAATGATCAAACAAAATTAAAAGAGACTCAGACATAAACTGATGATTGCCAGAGAGGAAGGGAATTGGGGGACTGGGTAAAATAGGTGAAGGGATTGAGAAGTGAAAATTGGCGCCCTGGCTGATGTGGCTAGATTGATTGAGCATTGTCTCATGCACCAAAAGGTCACCATTAAATTCTAGTCAGGGCACATACTCAGGTTTCGTATTCAATCCCCAGTTGGGGTGCGTGCGGGCGATAACCTATTGATGTTTCTCTTTTACATTGGTGTTTCTCTTTCTCTCCCTCTCCTTTTCTCTCTCTAAAATCAATAAAAATGTATTTTTTTTTAAAAAGAAGTAAAAACTGGTAGTTACAAAATTGTCATGGGGCTGTAAGAAAAGCAGAGGGAATATGGTCAAGCAGTGATAACTATGTATAGTACTAATTGGGGTAATGGAAATGTCAAAGGGAACAGAATGTAAAGTTTATGGTTGTTGCCCTAGCTGGTTTGGCTCAGAAGATAGAGCATCAGCCCTTGGACTAAAAGGTCCCAAGTTTGATTCCAATCAAGGGCACATGCTTTGGTTGCAGGCTCTATCCCTAATCCTGCTTGTGGAAGGCAGCCAATTGATGTGTCTCTTTCACATTGTTTCTGTTTTTGTCTCTCCTCCCCGCCCTTCCATTCTCTCTAAAAATCAATGGAAAAATATCATTGGGTGAGGATTAATAAAACAAACAAAAACTATATGTTTGTCTAATCACTCACCTATACACCTGAAACCAATCCTATGTAATAAAAGCCTAATATGCAAATTGTTCAACTGCTTGCGATGACGAGTGCTGACCACTAGAGAGTAGCACGGGACATGGGGGCATCAGTGATGTGATGTTGGCAGTGGGCAGCAGTGGGCAGCCCCAGTGGGCCCTGACGAGAGTGGGACCGTGGTGAAATGGTGGAGCAGGTGAGTGGGTGCGAGCAGGGGCCCAATTGCCCCGCCAATTGCTCCACAGACGTGGACCAGTGGTGGCAGCAGCAGGGGCCGGGGCTGCCGCTGGCTCCCAGGCTCTGAGGGAGCTGGGCAGGGGTTCTGGCCCAGACCAATGACCCCGCAGACAGCAACCAGCCTTGGCAGGCCCTGATTGTGCATTTGGGGCCGGTTCCAGGCTGGGAGGGGAAATGGGGTTGGGTGGCAGTGACCAACCTCCCTCAGAACCTGGGTGGGGAGCTGTGACCTCTTGCCAGCTACCTGAGGGTGGGGTGACGGGGATGGAGGTGCAGTGAGAATGCGGGGTATTTACAGAGCTTGCTCTCACTACTCCTGCTACCCTTTCTCAGGATGCCAGGGCTCACACACAGGATACCCCTGAACTCAGGTGCCGGGCACCTGAGAGGACCCTGCC